GGGTCGGGTCGACGGTCCGCGGCCGCACCGCCGATCAGCGCTACCGCTGGCCAGGCCGACGGTCCGCGGCCGACCCGCCGCTTGCTGGGGCCCGGCCTGCAGGGAAGAACGGTATACCCCCCAAAAGGGGTTCGATCGAAGACGAAGAGGGCGGGTATCGAGGGTTTGGGAAATACGCGTTATTGGACGCTCGAACAGATAAGGGCGAACAGTCTTAAACTGATTGTTGTTGTTGTTGTTGTTGTTGTTGTTGTTGTTGTTGTTGTTGTTGTGGTGGTGCTTCTTCGTGAGCTCCCATCCTCCTGCCCCCCCGCACGGGGGGACGCGCAGTCCTCGGAGGCCTCGAGACGTGGGTCGGTGCAGACGGGGTCAGCCAGGGCGCCCGATCCTGCAGGCTCCTGCAGGGCCAGGGTCGCACTGACCGGGTGTTGGGTGCAGGATCCTCCAGGATCTTGCAGGATCCTTCGCGCTGACCCGGGTTTCTGGGATTCTCCAGGATCTTGCAGGATTTTGCAAGGCTTGCAGGATCCCGGAGGATCCTTGGAGGATCCTTGGCAGGATCTTGCAGGATTCTGCAAGGCCTGGCTGACCCGGGTCTGGATTGACCCGGGTCGGAAGATCCCCGAAGTCCCCCAACCACGCCTCCTGGCTTTTGGTTCGGCTCAAAGCGCGCACCCGCTTCAAACGGCGACGAGTTCCAGATCGGCGTTTTCGCGCGTAGGGGGGTCCTCGCAGATCCTCGGGATGTCCCACGGAGGCCCCGAGAGGCAATAGGCTCCCTGGACACCCCAAAAGAGTGCTATACACTCCGCGCTAGCCGCTCTGGCTCATGCCGGGCGTGGCTCGAGCTGGGACGCTGCCGTCAGAACGCCCGGCTGGGCAGAGCGCTTCTTGCGCCCAGTTCTCTTGGAAAGATGGTCGCGGCGGGAGGCAGACACACAGTTTTACTCAGGAGCGACGGCACAGTGGTGGCTTGCGGCGACACAGCCGTGGGGCAGTGCAACCTCCCAATGGTAGCTGGCGGTGGGTCTTACGCCCAGGTCGCCGCGGGAGAGCTCCACACCGTTCTGCTCAGTAGCGACGGTGCAGCAGTGGCCTGCGGCAGCAACTATTGGGGCGAGTGTGACCTCCCTGCTCTGGAGAGCGGCCAGTCTTACGCCCAGGTCGCCGCGGGAGAGTTCCACACCGTTCTGCTCAGGAGCGACGGCACAGCGGTGGCCTGTGGCAGCAATAGTAGGGGCCAGTGCGACCTCCCCGCTCTGGCTGGTGGTGAATCGTACACCCAGGTCGCTGCAGGATCTCTCCACACCGTTCTGCTCAGGAACGACGGCACGGCGTTGGCCTGTGGATTTAATGTTGCGGGCCAGTGCGATCTCCCAAGTCTGGCCAGCGGTCAGTCGTACGCTCAGGTCGCCGCAGGAACTCTCCACACAGTTCTTCTCAGGCGCGACGGCACAGCGGTGGCCTGCGGCGACAACTACTGGGGCCAGTGCGACCTCCCCGCTCTGGCCGTAGGGGAGTCGTACACCCAAGTCGCCGCGGGAGAGGCCCACACCGTTCTGCTCAGGTGCGACGGCACAGCGGTGGCCTGTGGCAGTACCTACAGGGGCCAGTGCGACCTCCCCGCTCTGACTGGTGGCCAGTCGTACTCCAACGTCGCCGCAGGAACTCTCCACACAGTTCTTCTCAGGCGCGACGGCACAGCGGTGGCCTGCGGCGACAACTACTGGGGCCAGTGCGACCTCCCCGCTCTGGCGGGACAGCATCACCTGACTTACGCAGCCCAGCTCTTGCCGACGTTGCTCCTCCAGGCGTCACTCAGTGGCGATTCGATCGTGTTCCTGACCTTCGGTGGGGCGGAATGCTGCAGAATCAGGGCAGCGCCCACCGCTCGCCTTGAGGCTGTCTATCGCCAGCTGGCGATCGAGCGCCGTGCGGGCAGGCTGGGAGACAGGATCGCGCAGGTCGACGCGGTCATTCGATGACCTTCAGGACGTGTGTTAGCCTAACGTGTGTGCTACCCCGTGGATTTTTTTGTTTATATATATGGTGTTTTTTTTCACAAGCTGACGCAAAGCACCCATAGCTGTGCGCCCCCTGGATTTCTCTGGGTGGACTTCCTTGGAGGCTATAGGTGTGTGTTGTCGGATGGAGGTCTCCGCTCCGCTCGAACTGGAGCCCCCCTCGTGGTCCAACAACCCGCGCCCATACCTATAGCGCCCTCATCTCATTGCCCGTATCCATTCTTCCTCCCTACAGGTTTGGGCGTGTGCTGTTCTTTCATCAGCCCGCATCGTATCGAAGGCTTTCCGCGGACAAGGACACGTTGGTTCGGTAGCAAATCATGGGAGCCTTGTAGGTCCTCGAAATTCCATCTCCGGAGGGCACTAAGCGTGCGCTGGCGTCTGGTAATCGATGAGAAAGCGGAGGCTTAGCTCCGATGAGCGTCGGCTGAGCGTCGATTAGCGTCGACTCGGCGCAGACGAGAGAGTCGGTTAGCGTCGTTTGGCGTCGGTTCGCGAGGGCCAGCAAGAGGGCGTTGGTGGGGTAACCAAAAAGTGCCGATATCGTTACTCCCCGGGCCTCTCCCGGGGTGCGTTCTGACCAGGATTTCGAGGCGAATCCAGCGGTGGCGACGAGGACCGCCCAGGAGGCCCCCAAGAGGGGAAAGCGAGGGAAGGGTAGCAGTATGGGTACCTTTTCCTCCTCGGAGTTGGGGGTGGCTCCCACGAGCTGGCACAGGAACCTCGCCTGTCCCCCAAGCTGGTGTCTGGCTCGATGCGGGCCCGACGCGGATCTGGAGTGGATTCGGCGCGGACTCGACACGGATTCGACACGGATCCGACGAGTCCGACATGGACACGACATGGCATCGACGCGGAAAGGGCCGCGACAAGACAGACCAGGCCCCCCAAGGATAAAGCACAACCGAAGATGAACGTTGGCGCCGGCACAGATCTCTGTGGGCCATCGGAGGAGGAGGATGAGGAGGAGGTGGAGGCGGAGGAGGAGGCGGAGGAGGAGGCGGAGGAGGAGGCGGAGGAGGAGGCGGAGGAGGAGGAGGCGGAGGAGGAGGTGGCGGGGGAGGAGGAGGAGGAGGAGGAATACCTGCCCCTCCTCCCTCCTCCCCCATCCTACATGTGGCGGTGGTGGTGTAAGATTGGCCCATCAGTCGGCGCCGGCACACGTCTCTGTGGGCCATCGGCTCGTGCCGCCGGGCGGGCGGCTGAGCCTCGCCCCGCCGGGGCAGACCGTCGCGAGCGGCTTCGGCCTGCGCCGCGTGCGCGTGCACGGCAAGCGCCCCCGCGCGGCATACTGCGCGTGGGCGGGCGCCGCCGCCGGCGAGGAGGTGGTCACTGCATGGCAGCATGCGGTCAGCACGCCGAAATTCGGCGCTGCTCGAAGAAGAAAAGACGCCATACACATAAACTTTTGGCGTTTTTGTGTGTTTTGTTTTCTTCTTCTTCTTCTTCTTCTAGTCAGCACGCCGAAATTCGGTGCTGAGCTAGGGGGGGTCGATGCTCGTTTTGGGGACCTTCGTGGGGGACACCTCATGTATTTGTTCGTCTCCAATTCGACTCCAGTTCGACTCCAGTTCGACTCAAGTTCGACTCAAGTCCGACTCAAGTTCGACTCAGGTTCGATTCAGGTTCGACTCAAGGTCGGAACAAATCGACGGACGTTCGACGCAGCTTCGACGCACGAGTGGAGCGAGTGTCTCCAGGAAGACCCCCAGAATGAGCATCCAAAGGGGGGGCAGTGGGGAGGGGCGGGCTTTCCCAGAAGGCCTGGAAGGCCTCGGGCTCCTGTAAGAAACATTCTGAGCCTTCCCCGAGGACACGAGCAACTTCTCAGAAGGCCGGAGAGCTTCTGAGAAACCCCGCCGCCTTCTGAGAAGACCTGCTCCTTCTCACTTCCCCCCGGTCTCGCCGCCGAGAAAGAATGAGCATTTCGTCGAAAAAGATTCGACGCCATGAGCAGATACATGTTCGGAGCTCCGCGCGGATTTCTCGGATCTGCGCTGGTCCCCCCATGGCGGCGCCTCTGGCGCCGCAGCGCAGATCCCAGAATTCCGCGCGGACATCTAAAAATTTCTGCTTATGCCGTTGTTTCTTCGTCTGATTCGGGTTCGGAAGGGGTTCCCTTTCTTGACGGGCGAAGAGCGGTATAAAATAATCTTTTTCTCGCTGTCGGGGGCGCCTCTCCCAGGGCGGCTGGAAAGTTTACACCCTTCCGGTGGCACCGTAGGGGTATAAACTTTCCAGCCGCTCAGGGACAGGCGCCCCCGACAGCGAAACAGTTTATTTTATACCGTTCTTCGCTCGCTGACTTTCCCTGAGGTCCTTCATGGCTGTTCCTCGTGCACCCCTCGTGCGCCCGTGCGTGATCTGGGTCGTAAAAAGGCACGCCTTCGTGTTTCTCGTGGCAGTATCCTGACTGTGTGCATCCACATATCTTTCATGATCATGTGCTACACGGGTTTGTCGGGGGCGGAAAAGAAGTGATGACTAGGGGGGGGTGGATATCATGGCGGGGGCCACGATATTTCCCCAGGTTTCATGGCGCCTCTTCTTGTTTCATTACGTTCCCGGCCCCCCCGCTGGGCCGCACACATGCCGCCGATCATGATTTGCACCCCCCCCCTCTTGGACACCCCCCTCTTGGCCGCTCCCGAGTTTGGGACAAGCTGTCATTGGGTAAGTTGTCACGCTCGTGCCATGTATACGCCGCGCGAGGTAGCTCCCGGTCGGACTTCTCCTTTCACTGCCATGCCAAGTGCCTTGGCGTATGCCTTGGGCCTGAACGAGGTGAGCCGTCACGGGCCCAGCCGCTGTTCAAGTTCGGGGAGCGGGCCAAGGTCTGGAGGGACATCAGGGGAGGAATGCTTTTGAGCACCCTCGCCTACAAACTTACCTGTTCTCCGTGCTCATGTTTGTGGCTCAGCTCGAACCTCCACCGGCCGCGTGGACAGCAGCAGACGGCTGGCGTGTCGGGCTGTTTTTGTGGTCCACTTGGCTGGGTCACGTCCGGGCTCCTGCGCAGCGCCAAGCAACTCGGCCTCCCTGCGGAGCTCCCTGACCTTCACTGCGCCGCGAAGTGCAGGGTCTACAAATATGGGTGCCGAAAGACAGGTGGGCTCGAAATCGCGGAGCTCGTCCGCCACCTCGACAGAGCCATCACGGATTGCGACTTCCTTGACCGGAGGGTGCGGTGAGAAAGTTGGTTCCAAAATTCGTTCTTCCACAGTGTGCAGCGGGCCCACGACAAGCTCCAGAGATCACCGCTGGATTCCAAGACCCTCGACGGCATGGCGAGGCACGCGATCATGGCCAGATGGCAGCACATCTGCTCAGACTGCCTACGTCCTCCGCCGACGACGCCCTCCAGCATTTACGGCAGCGCCTAGACAGGTAGCAGATGCAGATCCCGCCGGGCCGGCGAGTGAGTCGCGCGGTCCTTCTTCTCCAGAGGCTCGAGAACTTCTTGCCCCCCAAAGTGCAGGCGGCCACGCTCAGGACCGTCTCCGACGGCATCGATGCGGGCCGCCGCTTCTAGCGCCGGACCTGCTGCTGGTTCGGCCACTCGCTGGAGGACAACGTCGAGCTCCACGCGCATTGCCATGTCATGCAACGGTTCGCAAAACGCCGCCTGGGTCTCCGGGTGCGTGGCGTGAGCGCCCGCTGGAGGTTTTCCTCGGCATGGGGGCTGCCGTGGCCCCGCAAAACCACGCCATGCGCTGCAGGATGGGTTTATTGCAGTGCAGTCAACCCGCATAGTAAGGATGGGTGACCTTCCCAAGGGTACCCATGCATCCTTGCCTCCTCGGTCCATCCTTAGCCACCTTCGTTGGCCGCGCCCCGCTCGAGAAGCTTCGGCATGGGCGTCCAAGGCCCTTTCATCTTTCATTTAATCACAATCATCATCCTGTTTCATCCTGATCCCGCATCTTTATCATAGGGGCCGACTGTGCGCCATTATTCACGCAGTGGGCGCGAGCAACCACGCGTGCAGAGGCTCCAGTGCAAGGCTTTCGTTGACGTCTTCTCTATCCCGCCCCCGGGCCACCGACGACCTCCGACGCCCCGGCTGGCAGGGGCTGCGGGAGGGCGCGCGCGGCCGCCCCAGGGCCCTGGAGCGTCTGTCCCGACGCTGCCTGTGCGCACGACCCGAGTAGCTCTATGCAGCGTCGTTTGCCGTCGATGGGCGAACCGATGTGCCGTGCAGCTGGTTTTTGGTCATTGTGTCCCCCTTCTCGCCTCGGTCCCCCCCTTCCCTCCGCGCCAGCCTCGGGCCGCCTAGCTGCGGCCCAATTTCGGTTAGCTCCGTGAGAAGCCTCGCTGGGTCTGCGTGCGGGTGCCCTGGCCGTCCCACTTCGGCCTGCAGGGGCCCAAAGTGTGGAAAATCGAAGGAGGAGGAAAAGGCAGCGGAGTTTTTTTATCTCCTCCACACATGTTTTTTTAGCTGCGCCCCGCCCTTCAGCGTCGATAGACATCTGTGTTGCGTGATGACGGCGATGATGACGATGCATATGCTGATACTGATAATGGTGATGATGCTGATGATGGTGATGATGGGGATCGTGATGGTGATGCTGATGCGGCTGATGCTCTTGTTGATGTTGATGATTATGCGGCTGATGATGATGCGGTTGATGATGCTGATGGTGGTGATGATGCTGCTGATGCTACTGATGGTGGCGATGCTGATGATGGTGGTGATGGTGGTGGTGTTGATGATGATCATGATGATGCTGCTGGTGCTGATGATGCTGGTGCTGATGATGCTGATGATGATGCTGGTGGTGGTGATGAACAGGGAAGAGGAGGAGGTGGAGGAGGAAAAGGATGATGAGGAAGAGGAGGCGGATGATGATGATGATGATGATGATGATCATGATGATGATGATGATGATGATGATGATGATGATGATGATGATGATGATGATGATGATGCTGATTATGATGATGATGAGGAGGATGATGCTGCTGCTGCTTGCCGCTGCTCTGCTGGCTAGCTGCTGATGATGATGATGATGATGAAGGATAGGAAGATAGGAGGATGAGGAAGTATAAGAGAGGAGGAGGGGGTGGCGGAGGGGGCAGGGAGGAGGAGGAGGGGAGGAGGAGGTAGAGGAGGAGGGAAGAGGAGGAGTACAGGAGGGACCAGAAAATGGGTGAGTGATGATGATATATGATGATGATGATGAATTAGAATGAGGATGATGATGATATGATATGAGATGATAATGATTATGTTGTTGATGATTTGATGATGATACGATGATGATGTATGAATGATTGATGATGCTAGCTGATGATGATGATGATGATGATATTAGAACTACTTATGATGATGATGATGATGATGACGAATGATGATGAAGGATGCTGATGATGCTGATGATGGATGATGGAATGATGTGAATGATGATGATGATGATGGGATGATGATGAGGATGATGATTATGATGTTGATGATGATGATGATGATAGGAGGAGGAGGAGGAGGAGGAGGAAAGAGGGGATCATGAAGGAGGGGGAGAGAGAGAGGAGGAGAGGAGGAGGATGGTAGAGAGGAGAGGGGGAGGAGGAGGAGGAGAGGACTGAGGAGGAGGAGGAGGAAGAGGAGGAGGAGACAGGAGGAGAGAGGAGGAGGAGGAGGAGGAGAGGAGGAGGAGGAGGAGGGGGAGGGGGAAGAGGAAACGGAGGAGGAGCGGGAGGAGGAGGAGGTGGGGGAGCAGGAGGAGGGGGAGGAGGAAGAAGAGTGTAGGAGGAGGAGGAGGGAGGGGGGAGGAAGAAAAGGGCAAGGAAGAAGGGCAGGGGAGAGTGTTTGCGCTGCTGTCACTACCCGCCAAGTGCGCCTGCGGTGGGCCTTCGGTGCGCGCCTTTCTTGCGCGCAGCTGGCTGCGTGCAGCCATGTGCTGCCCGTCCCTGAAGCACGCAGGGGCTGTTGGCGCACCCGCGTACACCGTATGATTCAAAGGAGCTGTTACCGTTTCTGCTTAATGGCCAGCCTGTCACGGTGCTGCCATGCGCTACTTGCAGCGGCCCTTCACGCGCAAGGTGATGACAACGTCTGGCGATTTCGGCTCGGCATTTGGCCCCCTTTTCGCACGACCTGCGGCTGGTGTGGCTCTGGCTTCGCCTCAGGCTCGTGGCCCCTTCTTACACTCTCGTTTTCGGCGATGTGCGGTTGCGACTCGCTTCAGCACTGGGTGTTCCCCCCGGTTTTCGGGATGTGCGGGTTGCGACTCGCTTCAGCTACTATGTGGAGGGGGGGTTCAGGGGAGGAGGATAGGAGGATAGTCGAGTAGGATGCAGGGAGGATGAGGATGAGAGGAGGAGGAGATGGGGAGTAAGGAGGAGGGATTGGCGTTCATGGATGACCATGTTCTTCTGCATGGCTGTGAGTCGGAGGAGGAGGAATGAGGAGAGGAGGAGGAGGGAGGGAAGGAGGAGGTGATGATGAGAGGGAGGAGGAACAGAATTCGCCCGCTCTCCTAAGTTCCTCTTCCTCTTCCCTCCTCTCCTTCCTTCTTCCGCCTTCTCCTCCCTGCCTCATGCCATGGTCATCCCCCATCCAGCTTGCGGACGATGAGGGGGTCCCTCGGCGCGGCTGAGCTCTGCCGCCGCCTCTGACCGGCCGCTGCGCCTGTCCGCGGCGAGGCATGCAAGATGCCACATGGGGGCGCTTCGATTGGCTTCGACCGCAAGGCCTCCTACACGGCGCAGGATATTGAGTCGGACGGGTCGCCCTCGAAGCCGGGCGCCAGCCGCCGCCCTTTCGGCGGCGCTTCGGGCGGCCCCTGGGCGGCCCTCCAGCGGCTTGTGGCGGCCCTCGGCGGCGGCGGCGCGAATGTCGTTGCCGTCGTCGCCGCCGCCGCACACGTCGTTGTCCTTGTCGCCATCGCTGCCGTCACCGCCGTCGTCGTTTCCGTTTCCGTTTCTGTTTCCGTTTCCGTTCCCGTTTCCGTCGCCGTCGCCGTCGCCGTCGCCGTCGCCGTCGCCGTCGCCGTTGCCGTCGCCGTCGCCGTCGCCGTCGCCGTCGCCGTCGCCATCGCCGTCGCCGTCGCCGTCGCCGTCGCTGTCGTCGCTGTCGCTGTCGCCATCACCGTCGCCGTCGCCTCCGCCGCCGTTGTCGTTGCCGTCGTCGTCGTCGTCGTCGTCGTCGTCGTCGTCGTCGTCGTCGTCGTCGCCGCCACCGCCGCCGCCGCCGCCGCCGCCGCCGCCGCAGTCGGCGGCGGCGGCGGCGGCGGTGCGGGCGGGGGCGGGCTGCACCCGCAGGCCCCTAGCGAGGGCGCCGGCGGGGGCCCCAGGGCAGCGCAGGATGCCCTCGGGACGGCCCAGAGCAGGCCCCTCGGTAAGGACTGCCCAGGAGGAACCCCACGAGGAG